GTACATATAAATTTCTATATTTAGGGGATTTTAGGGGAATTTAAAAAATACTTAGGATAAAATTTTGGTAAGGGTTGGTAACACTGAGTGTGGAGTGCATCGCGGACTCCAGTTTTGGTATTGTCGCGGATCTGGTCTGTCCAGCGCATGAGGCTTCTTCCTCTCGGGTATCGCACTTCCAGGGTATCGTTTTTCTTCCTTGCTATGTGACCGAAGAATTCGAGAATCCTACGCAAACAGAATTTGGACAGCCTAACGGTGACTCCCACTTCTTTAAGAATTGACGCATTTGTGCGGTGGGCTGTCCACGGAACTCGTAATATTCTCCCCCAACACCACATCGACCACTAATACTCTGAACTAAACGTAGAATAAATATGCGCTTAAATTTAATTCAGCAAGACAAAAAACACATGTATAACACTTTGCTTATTTTTATGACTTTTTCCTACTTCATTTTTATAACTGTATGCGGCTAATAAATATTGACGCTTGTTTAACACATTTTTCTAAGAAAATGTAAGATTGGACAGTTTATCTCTTATCATCGAGTGCTATTGTAATATTCATGTAGGTAGGTATATCAATACCACTCTGGACATGACGTACAATACAACCTAACAACACAAATACCTACTTGTTAATAATATTCTCAGCGCTTATTAATTTAAAATAATATCTTCTTCTTTAATAATCGGTGGTCTTATTTAAAAAAAATATATATTATGTATAATTTCAATTTCTAAACTCATAAATAAGATGATTAAATTATTCAATTCTTTCATAAACCCTCTTCTAAATATTCCTTGAGAACACTTCAAACGAGCTCAATACCTCATTTATCACATGAAATTAAATGATACTAAAATAGACCACCAAGGTCTATAAATAAAAAGATAGTATATAAATATAATTTGACAACCTCCGTGGCCGAGTGGCTTTTTTTTTTAAACTCATTTATTTATTACATTTTAAGGTGCTGAATATGACATAATTGTGTATAAGGGATTCGATATTTGGTAGAGTAGCCCCATCAGAATCCGAGGCCGCGTCGAGATGCAGCCAGGGAGGTCGAATGGGTGGGAAAGACAGGGAGAGGAGAGGACGGTTTAATAATAGTGAGAGGCGAAAAAAGAGGAGAGGAAAGGAAACGAAACAGAAAATAAATAAAAGGTTTAAAGGATGGGAGTAAGAGTGTAAGGGTTTAACAATCTTGCATGATATACAGCCATTGACGAAATATATTCAATATTAAGTGGCCGAGTGGTTTGTACGCCGGGTTTCATGGTGTCGCCGACTCGAAAGGTCCCGGTTCGAATCCCGGTGGGGGCAGATGTTTGTGTGATGAATACGAGCATTTGTACTCCAGTCTCCAGTTTGGATGTATAATATGTAATTCTATATAAATATACTTATATATGTATAGTATATGTATTCTATCCGTTACCTTGTATCACATAACACAAGCCTTAATGTGCTTACTTTGGGGCTAGGCTAATTGGTGTGAGTGTTGGAAATATTTATTTAATTTTAAGAGAGGTAGAGCACAGCGGATTTTCCGCTCGAATTGGAGTGCTCGTCTGGGGAAGCAACCTCCAACCTTATAGAAGACCACAGTAAAATAACACTATCTTTTGGTGGTGTTGTGTATCTGCTGATGAGTAGGGCTGCAGGGCTCCGTGAGGTAGAGGATTGGGTTCAGGCCTACAAGGTGAGGATGACTGAAGCGGTATACTTTCTGCCGCATCATCTTTTTAAGTATTTTTTGTGCTCTGTCACTTGGCGAACAAAATGCTTTGAACGCTTTTCTACAGTAGTTTTTACTACGCCTAGTCTTCGCGTCGGACGCGCCAATCCGGGCCGCCGCACAAAAGTAAGACAGAGAGCATTTCATTGATTGAATAACGAATTGAATTGCATTTGTTTTAGTTGCAATTTGTCATCCGCATCGTGATCGCGACAGCGCTATACGATAAAGTAAGACAGCGATAATTACATGTCTATGAATGAATTTTTACTACGCTGCTACCGCAAGCGATTATGGCATTATGGGTGACAGAGCGGGTCTTTCCGCGAGTGAACTTATGACCACACGACTAAAGTGAAACTTCTGTAGCTCCATCTGTATATATAATATATATATATATATATATATATATAAGAGAAAGAGACAAAGAACTGTGCGCGAGCACTGCTTTCTCTTGCTTATATCCCCCACTCAACTCCCGTTCGCCTCGCCCGAACACGCTTATAGTAACGCGTAACGCATTCGCCAGCTTACTACCCAAGTCAAGCGTGCGTAAAGAAGTTTTACTTCAAAAATGATTTTATTGCGATATAACTAACATAAATAAATAATAATAACATAATAATAAAAAGTCATAAAAAATCAGCAATAGCACTCATATACGCCACGTGTTTGCATTACAATTTCAATATCTGCGTCCGCATAAAGCGGGCCTCCCTATATCTATCATATCGAATCGTTATTTACCGAATTCGATTAAGTCTAAAGAAAATATCGTCAAAAAAACGCCCGATAAAACGTGGATCATGAGATACGTTTTTTTTTCTCTACGACAATGTTTTCTTTGGCTCTGTGGTTATTTGGCGGGCAAACAGAGTAATGAAGGAATTGATAGTGCGCCCGGTCGATGAACTCGCATTTCTTATTTTGGGTGTTTTTTAGTGTATTGATGCGTCTTATCGCTGAATAAACTCAGTCGAACGTTTGATGAATCGAAACTGTTGCGTATTATATTCTGAAGGTAGCAGAATCGAATAATAACGAAGATAGTATTTTAAATAAAACAAGTTTTAACGGTTAAGATGCACTGATTAATTTATTTATTGACGTTTCACATCCTTTACAGGATGCAATATGAGTGGTGTGCGTGAAAACCCAAGAAACAAATATAGTATTTTAAGTTTACAGTTATCTGTTTTTCATAAAAGAAAATACGTTACTATAATAGGGTATTTGACAAGTTTTACAAAACGATCTCACGTTGACTATTGTTTATAGAGTCCGTAAAAAGTCGATATTCTTCATTCTTTGAATATCCATTCATCATTCTGTTGTGTATTTCAGTAAAACTAACCAAATCAAGAACTCCATTTTCATTCTCATGGCCCCGCATCTCCCCTATTCCATCCATAATGAAGGCCTGGGCCCCACAAGTGGGGACATTAATAGGCTGATGATGATGATGTTCTACGATTTTGCATAGTTTTCGAGTTAGATTATTTTTTCGTTATTTTTTAAGTTTAACGATAAGACAACTTTAAGAAAGGATAACTTCTTTTTGGATCGATTTTTCTTCGATAGTTTTTTTAACAGAATGCCTTTTGCTTGTAGTTTTATAAGTTAAATAATCTCCTTCCTAACTTTAACGTAAGATATAAAAAAAATATCGATACTAAATAAAAATGAATTAACGAACTACGAAAAAAAATCTAACTCGAAAACTACGCAAAATCGTAGAACATACATGGGGGTTAAATTGATAGGTATGGTACTCCGCTATCAGCTCGCACTGGCTTGACACCCGAGAAGAAACATCCTGTATAATAATACTTAAAATATAAGCTTCTTTAAAACTGATTCTTAAAAGTTCCCCTTATTGAACACAATAGAGTCCAAATAACACCAATCATAAAGGTGTGTTAAAACATTAGAAATGTATTTATGAAAAAAATAACTCTACGATATAGCCGAAGTTGTATGTAAGATAATTTCATTCATGGATTTAAATATTTCTGTAAATTGACCTACAGTTGTAATAGCATTGAACAATACGCCTAATCATCGGCACACAACACATGGAACAAACAGCGCGCGCTAGCACTCTCAACAACTACCCGCTCGCTGGACGGCCCGCCCGAATAATTACAATCGACTCGCTGACAATCGCGCGATTCTATCACAAAGCTCGCATAATCGGACACAGTGACGAATGCTACCACATCTCTAACGGGTGTACACGACCAAATCACACTTCCAAAAAGCAACCTTACCCGCCCGCGTCAACGTACAATTTCGCTCAGCATCGGTTGCTAATAGTGACGCGATGCGTTCAGATGCTCGATTGTGACACGGACAATGCAATAATCCGCGCATTGTTGATTCGACATTGTTGTTTTAAGGGCGGCCGCCGTTCGCGACAATTGTACGCATTATTGCATAAATAATAATGTTATTTCGCCCGGTGGCTTTTCATTGTGGCATTTTGTCGCTAAACTTATAGTATTGTTGTCGGGTTACGAGATTAAAACACTCCGTCTGAGTTTTTTATTAGATAGCTTATACGAAAATGTCACTTTTTTACTTTTTATTTTTCCGCACTCATTTATTGACCTCCAGTGCTAGCCCTCAATCTAATAATACCTACTTGTATGTTATATCTTCAATAAAATCTACACGATATTATTTGACACCGGGCAATTACACGGGTCCGTATTTGAGATTCTAACAGTATTTTTCAAAATATTTCTATAGATTAAGGTTTCCAACCCTACTATATATAATAGAGTAACCTACTATAGTAGGGGATCAAATATTATATTAAAAAATACATATGTGCATATATAGTAGAAGAAACTACTGTACTTTGCTTAAAGCAGACTTTAGCCAGTAAAAGCTGTCTTAAAATTAAAACTTTAATTATTAAGACATAAAGCAGCAAAAATATATTCATTTCAAAATAAAGTAAATATTTTAACCACGTGTTATATTTTTTTTTCATTGTTTTGCCAGCTTCTATATTTTTAGAGGTCCGAACAGCTCCGAAAATACTATATTTGATGGAAAAAAGTTGGTAACCCTACTATAGATGCTTTAGTCACAATAACTACAATCCATCCAGTACATCATAGCCAGAATAATTTCAAATAATAAAACAACTACTTTGAACTATCTACCGAAAGTAGAATTTATAAACTAACTCTCATCTCCTTCGAGACACTTAAATTGGGATTTAAAACATATTTATTTCTTCTAGAGCACTCCACATGAAAGAGCATCCCGACTACAAATACCGGCCGAGGAGAAAGCCTAAGGCTCTCGTGAAGAAGGAGCCCAAGTTCGGGTTCGGCATCAGCGGGCTCATGGCGCCCGTGCCGAGGCTGGTAGCACCGTCCATGCCACAACAGATGTCGCTGCCGATACCGCACCATCTCTTACCTGACAAGCCTGACCTGGGACGAGCACTGTTCCCTCCGCTGCCGTACCCATTCTACCCCTTCGCGAAGATACCGTCCGACGATGGGAAGCTAGCTGCTGAATTAGCGCATTTACAGGTAAATAAAGAACTTCCCGTGGCTGGTAGCGCTCTGAATGCCGCAGCAGATGTCGCTACCGATGCCGCACCTGTTAGCTGACAAGCCTAACCTAGGACACGCACTGTTTCCACCGCTGCCCTAACCATTCTACTCCATCGCCAAGATACCGTCCGATGATGGGAAGCTAGCTGCTGAATTAGCGCATTTACAGGTAAATAAAAAACTTCCCATGGCTGGTAGCGCTCTGAATGCCGCTGCAGATGTCGCTACCGATGCCGCACCTGTTACCTAACAAGCCTAACCTAGGACGCGCACTGTTCCCTTCGCTGCCGTACCCATTCTACCCCTTCGCGAAGATACCGTCCGACGATGGGAAGCTAGCTGCTGAATTAGCTCATTTACAGATAAATAAAAAACTTCCCGTGGCTGGTAGCGCTCTGAATGCCGCAGCAGATGTCGCTACCGATGCCGCACGTGTTAACTGACAAGCCTAACCTAGAACACACACTGTTTCCACCGCTGCCTTAACCATTCTACTCCTTCGCGAAGATACCGTCCGACGATGGGAAGCTAGCTGCTGAATTAACTCATTTACAGGTAAACAAAAAACTTCCCGTGGCTGGTAGCGCTCTGAATGCCGCAGCAGATGTCGCTACCGATGCCGCACGTGTTAACTGGCAAGCCTAACCTAGAACACACACTGTTTCCACCGCTGCCTTAACCATTCTACTCCTTCGCGAAGATACCGTCCGACGATGGGAAGCTAGCTGCTGAATTAACTCATTTACAGGTAAATAAAAAACTTCCCGTGGCTGGTAGCGCTCTGAATGCCGCAGCAGATGTCGCTACCGATGCCGCACGTGTTAACTGGCAAGCCTAACCTAGAACACACACTGTTTCCACCGCTGCCTTAACCATTCTACTCCTTCGCGAAGATACCGTCCGACGATGGGAAGCTAGCTGCTAATTAACTCATTTACAGGTAAATAAAAAACTTCCCGTGGCTGGTAGCGCTCTGAATGCCGCAGCAGATGTCGCTTCCGATACTAGATCTTTGCCTGTGGTTAAGACATGCTTTAGACTCTGTTTTATTTGCAATTCACAAACAATTCCAACTCACATAATAGACTTGGACGAGTAACGCCGGGTTTTGTTCACATTCATTGAGGAACATGATTTTAATAATTCGATGAACATGGAACTAAGCAGACCAAGGTTATTCTTCATTTACTTAAAGGGTTTTTTTATTAGTTAAGAATACTCATAACCCCTATGAATTATTTCTGTGGTCCTCCTCTATCATTTCAAACAGAAACAGTAACGAAATGTGTCTTCCCCAGGCCTTATATGGCGGTGCGTTGTACAGCAGCGCGCTGTATAACAGCGCACTGTCCCCCTGCGGCTGTCCGCCGCGGCGCAGTCCGTCACCCCCTGCTGACGTGAAACGTCCCGTAGCCTACGTCCTGATGAAGAGTGATGAGGAGCCGCCTCAGCACGTCATATGAAGGCCGGTGGCGCTCCCGGCCCGCGCTTGGCCTCCGCCCGCGCACTGGGAGCGACCCTCCACGTCTATTGACAGGGACAACAGTTCCCCAGACAGCGTGTGAGTGTGTAAAGACCTACAACAGTGTTCTAAAGAACGATTAAAAGTGTGAGACTGAAAATCGAACAAGGTTTGAGTGTTTGAAAAACTCTTTTAAAATAACGGTACTGAAAGAGAAAAAAAGTTTAGTCATGACGTCTTGAAAGTTCTTGATTCAGATGGTTCTTCAAATTTGTATGGAGGGTAGTAGTCAGTCTTCGGCAGACTCCAATTTTTTTTGAAACGCAGGACACTTTATTGTCAATCGTTTGGCAAAAGGTTACAATTTATTTGATCCCCGTTTCTTTTTAATATTATTATAATATACAATTATTTGTCGGCAAATGGCAAACAAAGTTTACTTATCCATTTTTTATTGCCAAAGCATCAAATATATTCTATTCAATAAGTAACTAAAGCAGTGAAAATGATTTTATTCATCATTCACTACATTATTTGGGTAGTAGTAGGGTATTTTACGGATATTTTATTTCAAGAAGAATCAATCTTATATTGTTATTATAAGTTAATCACGATTTCACGAATATCATGCATGACTGGATTTATTGAAGTTATACTTCTTTAGGCGCGTTATGAAAAAATGATGAGAGTGAAATTTTAAGATGCGCGCGCATCACTGTAACACAAAATTTTAACAGCATGAAGTTGGTCGCTTTAGCGACCAACTTCATGCTGTTACTTTTGTGTTTACCGCACATTAAGAAAATCTACCAACAAAATAGAAATAGAATCTCTATTTAGTGGGTGCTAACGACTGCATTGTGAAGGCCTATCAAAAGTATTTATTAATCTGGAACAACGGAACCAAAGCGCGATTTAGGAGACTACAGCGCCATCTCTTGACCATTGGTGTAGAAGAACCAAAAACCACATCTTTATTTTTTGTAATAAAGTAACAGTTATAGGTATTCATATTTATAATATTTATCCACATGTTTCTAGTTTGTATATTCGGAATACGTGTTTGAGTTTCATACAAGTGCAAATCACATATGTTCTAATAAATTATATTCAGTAGCGATTTTAATTGAATATTTTGATTATTTATTTATTTTTTCAAATTAAAACTGAACTTTATTGACTGTGTCCTTTCCCAGACTTTTTATTAATTTATTGTAATTAATTATTTGCATGCAATTAAAAACTAATTTTAAACGATGCCAAAGAAGGATAACTTCTCACGCGCCTACATAAGTACACGCACCCATTTTTTAACATAGTGATTGTATAGTTGTTGTATGCTGTCACGACGTCAATAACGACAGGGTGGCCAGCATCCTTACAAAACCATTTAATTTTCAAATACGATTTAAAATTAATCGAAGATGAATAAAAAAAAAATATAGAATTTGATCATGTTATAATATAAAACAAACATTACATGACATATGGTTCGTCGCTGCCGGAAACCTTAAGTAATGCTCTAAGCCGAAAACCGACTACCACTTTTGAACCATTTCCTATAAAACTAGTGGTGTGAACTGATCAATATATCGATCAAACTCGTGGTGTGAACTGATTAGTATATCGATAGAACTTTATTGTGTGGTTGAAGTGCAATGATATGTTTAAATTTTTAAATAATTAAATATGATCAAAATAATTGTTGAATTTGTATGGTATTTTTTTTATCTAATTTGAATTGTAATGAAAGAGGAAACATTTTGAATTGTAAAACAATTTCTATGCCTACCGTAACAATTGCGAAAGTAGAGTGCAATCAGAATGTTATTTTGTGCAATGTATAGAATTAACTTATGACTCTCCGAATAGATTACATATCATAGGACTAGATTAATAGAAAGCAAATTTAGTTAGGATACTTAACGTCAATTTCGAAACAAGTTTTCATAGATGGAATAAATCTCTCATTTCTTTTCATTTGATATATTTATTATTACCGCATTTGAATCAACGTCAAAAGTTGAAGATAAAAAGAATTTCGAATAATTGAAAATAATAGGTTTAGAAACCTTCCTTTTTTTATTTCTTCTTTACAATCTACAGTTCCGATTAACAAACTGAAAAAATTAGTTTTTCATCCAATGAAGTTTCAATAATAATGTTATTAATAATTGCAATTCATTTAATTATTGAATCTTAATTTTGTGTACTACACATTGTATTATAAGAAAGTGTTACTTTTTTAGTGTTTGTTATCTGTAAAATATTATTATTTAAGAAAACGACTATCACCGTTTTCTTTAGAGAGCTGAAATGACGCGCAAATTTATTGTTACATATCTAATTGTACATATCTTAATAATTAAATTTAGGTATTAAATCTATTTTAATTTCCCGCCGACTTTTCGATTCGTTGCTATCATAATTTATTTATAAGACCTGATTTGGGCTGGAATAAAATTACGCCGATAAAAAATATTTTTAGCGCCATCTATCGTTTTTTGCAAAAACATTTAACCGTTAATCGAACCCCAACACTAAATTCTTTTTTAAAAACAAAAGTGTGTTTTGATTGATTTCAAGTTAAGTGAGTGCGCTCGCAATTTTAATGAATACTAAGATCAAAAATGACGATTAATAAAATGTTTATGCACAAATTACTTAATGTTTTACGATGTTAATTAGGAAGTAAAATTTGAAAATACTATCACTGAACTCGATTTTGTTACGTTGACAATTTTTGCTCTATCTGATAATTCAGAAGGATTTTGACACGCTAGTTTGAAAGTTTTTAAGGTTTTTTCTTCTAATTTGCAGTTGATGTAAAGGAAAATTCAAGTTGACTTTATAACAAGCTCATTATAATAATGCGTGCTTTTCTGGAGGATCAAAATTGAGACAGTGTAGGATTATGTAAGTTGTTTTTTTTTTCAAAAATTGTTGAAATATGTTTTGTTACTTTTATTGTTAATCTTTAACAAAAATTAATGATTATTTTTTAAATGCATAGTCAATTCTTAGTAAAGTTGGTGAACCATTGTTTTTAATGCATATTATGCTTTTTATTATTTACATTTCACAGCATCCACACAATTTTTATGTTATGTTGTAACCGTTTTGTTTCAAGAAATACGTGATAGTACGAGACCATAATATTAATCCATTTCCTAATTATAAATTAAAAAGTTACTGAATTAACTCTCCGTTTGCAAAATAATCATTAATTTTAAGCCTTATACTTAAGTTTACTTTTTTACAATAATTATTAAAAAACCAATATAAAGAAATTTAAAAACAACTCATTGTTTACATATTCCCTGTAATATAAAAAGATGTGGTATCCTTAAAAATACACTAAATTTATTCTCTATATCCCGCGAACCCGTCCTTATATAAGGTAGCTTGTACAGGAATGTAGATTCCAAAAATCTACCCTATCCATGCACAACATACCTACGTCTACTCCACAGGTAATAAACATTGTTCCGGTATAAAATGTAACTCGACCTATTCCAAGTATAAATGAAAAATTTCTTCCATCAGCTGTTATAGCAATATCGCTCAAACATACAAACTCTTAAATTTATAATTAGTACAGTATCGTCAAAGAACGGTCTGAGGAAAAGCTGCCGCTGAAAATGTTAATTATTAAAAGATTTTTTCATGATATCCAGTTGCTTATATAACTGATGCCCATTTGTAGTTAGTAAGACAGCCTAATTTTGGCAAGTATATATTTACTAAGAGCGATTTAATTAAGAGGTATGTTATAAGAGTCTTGCTTTTGCTCTAATGGTAAGTATACACGACGACACCAGAGACACGGTAATATTATCTATACAGTATACTATCTTCATACAAACGGTCGGAAAGCGTGTCATACCTACGCCACTCGAGTTCGTGCGGCACCCGGTGGGCATCCAGTCGCGAAAGTGCCGCAGCCGTGCTTAAACGTTTTTATTGTGAATATTTGATTGAATTAAGTAGATACCTATATAATTTAATATTGCAAAGAGCAATAGTCGATATTGTGCTGTTTTTGGTTGCTTGAACTCTTCAATAATTAAACTTTTTATACAAATGCGTATTTATTATACTATTAAATTTAATAATAAAGCTTTTCGTACGTCTCAGTCGAGGCGTAAATATTTTTCTGTTTCAAATCTATCTAAAATTACACTTAAAATAACATCTATTTTATGTAACACTTCCCAATTCATTCACAACATTTTTTTATACATATGAAATAAAATATTTACAATCACAAAACTAGAAAGAAACTCAATTATGTAGATGAAATTAAAATACTGTAGGCGGGCAGCCCTACCGCGTGGATACGCCCCGCTCGACCGTAGGCAGTTATTTCAAGGACAGGGCCGAGTCACAATACTGTATAGATAATATTACCGTGCCAGAGACTAGACACTCACCCCCTTAATAATAAACGAAGACTACGCTCGGATTAGTTACTCCATGTTTCGTCTCAGTCTATTGAATGACAAATGACATTTGAGTGACATGAACAAAACACGACGTAACTAGTCTAAGCTTATTCCTTGTTTATTAATAAGGTGGTCAGTGTATACATCAACTGTCTCTGTGTGTCCACTGCCGTGACGCTTAGTTGCGGATGTAGTGACGAGTCCCTCAGCGTCCGTGTCGCAACCGTGGAGTCAGGACGAACGACAGACAGCCTATAATACACTTAAACCGGGATACTACATGTTTACACTAATGTTGACACAAAAAAATGCTTACCGTGTTAACGCAATCAACACTAGTCGACATTTGTGTCGAGTATCAGTGTCGTCGTGTATCTGATCCATAGTAATAATAATTGTAACCTACACCTTACAGGAGACCACGGCATATAATTTTTATGGTAAAAATGTGATAAACTAACAAGCGTTTCTCCCTCCTGATGGCTATGGCAGGCTATGGGCCACCTAAGCTCCTTAGCCCGTAGACGCTTCATCATCATCATCATCCTCATCAACAGCCTATCTTAGTCCACTGCTGGACATAGGCCTCTCCAAATGCACGCCATTCAGATCGATCTTGGGCTACTCGCATCCAGCTCATTTCCCATCTTGCGCAAATCGTCACTCCATCGCGCCTGAGGACGTCCTACACTACGTTTGCCTAGACGCGGTCTCTACTCCAGAACTCGTCTACCCCAACCGTTATCGGTTCTTCGACAAATATGACCAGCCCACTGCCACTTCAACTTGCTAATCCGGTGGGCTATGTCGATAACTCTGGTTCTCTGTCGGATTACCTCATTTCTGATGCGATCCTTCAGAGAAACGCCGAGCATAGCCCTTTCCATAGCGTGCGACGCTTGCGGTACCAAAAATATCACTTGCACCGATGCCTACCCTGACAAATCCCCACCCCGTTGAGCCCTGGAACCTTACCCAACGACTGAAACACAACACCACCAAAAGGTTGCGTTATTTTATCTTCTGTAAGGTAGAAGAAGTAATCTCCTTCCCCAGAAATGAAATAAAATGAAAAGTCATTTATTCAGTCTAGGCTGTTACAAGCACTTGTGAAGGTCAAGAAGCTACGCCATCGGTTAGCAAAACTACGGCAGGAGACCTTGTACTGAGAAGAACTGGCAACAAACTCAGCAAGGGCTGCTTTTTTCTCCCTGTATTGATATATACAGTGTCGTCAAGTTGAAAAAACCGGCCAAGTGCGAGTCGGACTCGCGCACCGAGGGTTCCGTACAAACCTGCAA